CAGCGGCAAATCATCGAATACCCATATTAATTTTGTCTTACCATATCTTCCCTTGAGGGCGGAGGGGTATCTGGATGAGAGTGGTATGTAAAGATCTGACCATCAGGCAGTTCCATGATGAGCCAGCTTCTCATCCCATACAGAAGCCAAAACTCATTGTGGCGTCGTAGTAGATTGTTGCGACGCTTACGGAGTTGCTCTCGCTTGACACGGCTTAGGGGAGGCGCCATTGTCCACTAATTTGCTGCAAAGGAACTAGTAGTTTGCCTTGGCCGGTGGATGCACTTATTTATGTCGGACATCTGCGATGGCCTAATCGTCCAATCTGTTACTTCAACGATGGTCACCATTTGCAGGAACTTTGAACGATGTTTACTGCTACGACTTATATTGCGGTCTAGCGAATAAAAATATGCGGCTGGGTATTGACGTGCAGAATTGACATTTTCCAAGGCCAGCACCAGACATAACTAACTGTTATAATAGTCTATGTGCCTTTTATATTGCCACAATCCTAGCCCTGGAAACTTGGAATTATATCGGCGGTTCCCAGAGACCCAATATATTGAACAGTCCACCTTATCTTATTGACACGCTCTGGTCTTCCCGTGCTTGATCAATGCATAATCAGTCTGTAAAGCAGCTTGCCATGCAAAGTCATAGCTATTCCTCAGCAATCGTATGTATCATACATGCCTCTTTCCAGATCTTTCTCATACATTCCCAGCCTTCAGCGACGATATATTGCCTTTGAACACCATTGCTGACAATTATTGACTTACAGCCGACGTTGGCTTCACTAAAGCCAACGTACACTCAAACTATTGGTTTTCGGACAAGCCAGGGACTACATGATGAGGGATCAAGGCTTGACGTCACACCAGTCTCGAAGCAATTCCCTTTGTCGGCCTTGAATCGACCATCATACTGTGATTTGCTATTACACTCCAGTTCTCCAGTCAGCGCCCCTGGTGATGAGCCTACGACGGAACCCAAGCACAATGGAGCAATTACCGAAAAAGATTCCATAAGCGGTGCCATAAGAGGATCATATACCAGCACCGGTTCTGATGACCATAGTATCTTTCCGATTGAGAATTCAAATAATAACACTACCGACTTGCTTCAGAACGTGACCACAAGAGCCACCTTTTCGCCATTTGCATTTAATTGTACCTCTCAAGTATGGGCTAGTTTGGAAACACCGAACTCTGAGGACTCGTCGGGACCTTTCGTGGAGTCCCTGTATCATTCGACTAGCCAAATACATACCGAAGCTTCCGAGATCAGAGAAACCGGACAGAGCAGGGTTTTCCAAAGCGACGGAGCTTCTGGCACCGAATGGTCTGGCACTGCTGGTCGTATCACTGGGACGGCTGGGCATCACTTATCTCTGGCCCCTAACGATGGAAGCCAAACCTTGTCGAGGACGTTGGCAGGAACGGTGGCTAGCTCTCACACTATTTCGTCGATTTCTGGACCAACATCAGCCACAAAAACCTCAGATCATGAATGGCATGATACAGCAATCTATGGTAGTAATCTATCGGCAAGGCTTTCAAAGCAGGGCACAGTACTTATACTCAGCAGCGTTTTTGGAGGCAGTGTTGCTTTGATTGGGGTCTTTATTATACACTGCTTTATCCTCCGTTATCTCCATAGGCATGCCGTGGGTTCGACCACTCTTCCCTCGCAACGAGTGGTAGATTCCCCGGAAAAAAGAGCGAAAGTCATACCTAGGACAGCTGAATTCTCGCATTTTTCAAATGATACTTGAGTTGACACCTCATTAATAAAATACCTCGCAATATTTATCTGGGATTAATCTTGATAGATCAGGCCGATGCTCCATTTCAAGACCACCTATTTCTCCAACTAGACTCTGGGACACATTTTAATGTTAAAATTCTAGGTTCAGTGTATATGAGATGGAAGTCAATCTAAGCCTAAGAGTGGTTCCCATTCAGGGCTCAGCGACAGTGAAGGTGGTGAAGGTGGTGAATGTTGATTATTAAGTGATGCTTCAGTGTTCATGTTATTGAGGGGAGTTAACTGTGTGTTGTGTTGCATGTTCTCTAAGATACAAGTAGGCTGGTGAACAGGTATATATGAATGCACGTGATCCCAGCCTCATTATCATCTCAGTAACCGGGATATTTCAACAGTGGTAAGGTGGTAAAAATGATCACGGTGAAATCAACATCAGCACAGACGTGCTTTGAACATGTACGCTACGCCTTCTAATTCGGAGTCGACCTGGTACGGACATGGCCATTCTCATAATGAGGCTTCACCGTCTCCAGCCTCCAATTCTGCTTCCTGCCAGCATAATCCTTATCCCGTTGATGCCGACAGCGATACAAATGGCCTAGCCTCAAAGATCGACAACGGTGACCGCGGTCGCATTATGGTGTACTGGCAAACTCGTAGCGCCGTTACAGTTATTATAGAATACTTGATCTCTATTTAATATTGCTAGTCCCGCGCAGTCAGTCCAGGACAGCTACCGTACGTCATGTTGGACTTTAGCTTCAACACACCCACGGCGCAAGTGGGTGCGTACAGCATCCGTACCGGCCAGGTCATGACTTCTGGGCATCAATTGATTAGCCAAAATCCCGGCAAAGCTTTAGAAACAAAAGTGTCGCCAGATGTGCGAGACCAAATCTCCGATGAATGCTGTATCAGTTGCATGGTCCTGTTGGTTTTACTCTTTTCGGGCACCTCCCCAACTCATCGTATCACTGCCGTCGAGAATGAAGTGGAGCGGCCGGTGGGAACATTGATGGCAACAATACCAAATATTCACCGT